TTTTTTTTTTTTTGCGCCGCATCGGTTGCGATGCGCGCCAGACGTGTGCTGAGGCGCGCACCTCAATGCGCCGAAACTATGATGCAATTCAATGCACACAATTTATTTTTTCTAATACACAGGCCGAAATTCAGTTTGCTTACCTTGTCATTGTGATCGGTTACTGTGTGCAACGGTATCTGCAACAACCACCAAACATCAAAAGTGTGTCAGTACGATAAAGCTGATGTTGTGGAGGTGGGTAAAAAGGAAAAAGAAGAAGAAGAAGAAGAAAAACATGAGAAGCGTGGCACGAGAAGATCATCAGAGAGAAAACCAGGCAAAAGCCACACTTCCCACCACTTTCCACACACAGCTCCAACTGCCATGACTACTACTCTACAAATGTGCAAAGCGTGGCACGAGAAGATCATCAGAGAGAAAACCAGTCTTTGTGATCTGAACGTCCCGAGAGCAAGCAAGCAAGCATTACCGCTGATGGGCCTGGCCACACTACTCTACAAATGTGCAAAGCGGCAATGAACTTTCTGCTAGAACATGGACAGATGCGCCGCCATATTTTTTGTATTTGGTGTGTGTGGAGAGTAGTGCAGCGATTGGGGGGTGATGAACTCTCAGAGACATATGCGAGGACATTAAGCAGAGACTTAGAGATCAAGAAGATTGCTGCCAGAACGGCAATGATGTTATATTTACATTTGTCTTTTTCCCCCCTGCTCTGGTCATGTGTAACCTCCACCTCATAGATCTCCATGACCACCTTTTCATCTCCCTTTCGTAAAGGCCTACTGTCCGAGTTGATCGGTGTTCTCAGATTGCTGCTCTTATGATCCTGAACAGAGCTCTGTACCCGTAGGTCATACAACTCTGCCGTTTGCTGTCCTTGTAGCTGTCCGGTCCCGCTTGTAGCTGTTGCTTGCCCTTTCTGGCAATTCGGTCATTTGGAATCGGCCTGACACTGCACACATTTCATACATACCCTTGCATGGTTGCTAGGTTGGTTGTCTTCTTCCACTAACCCCGGTTACTGCGGGCCACTGTCGGTCTCTCACGTAGTCTAGTCTTCTCCAGCACTACACTCACCGAGTCTCACTCGCAGTTTGGCCAGCCGAAGCTGCCGCAACAACCACCCCTCTAGTCTAGGGGCATAAGCATCTGCCTGACACTGCAAATGTCTCAAAGAGAGGCTGCCGAGGCTACCGCAACAACCCCCCCTTTAGTCTACGGGCATAAGCATCTGCCTGACGGCACATAAGAGCTTTGTCACAGACAGACGCAAAAAGTGAGGACATGGTCCTGTTTAACCCCCCCCCCCCCTCCACAAAAAAAAAGAACAGAAAACAAGATACAAACCTTGCTGCGCCTGTCCCAGATCTTGACAGTGTTGTCATGCGATGCTGACAAGAGGAGGTTCTCTGACTTCGTCGACCTGAAACAAGCAGAAACCATTGCCCACTCTTAGCCAACAGCCGAAAGGAATTCAAGACACTTCACAACCCCAAGCCATCGGACGTAACAACCCTATAAACGCATGCGCTAAGGGAAACCTCGAGACATGCCATCGGACGTAACAACCCTCCCATACGTAGGATATCTGAACAAATCCGAGAACGCATGCGCTAAGGGAAACCTCAAAAACAATGAAGAGATGCAGGAACACTTGAGCGCTCATGTCAACACATCCCTTTTGCATTGCTTCGCTAGGCAAATGGCGTCATAGGCCACATACTCACACACTCCTGGTATCCTGAATGTACCCAATCTCAGTTACAGAGGACAGTCCACTCGAGCACAGAGAGACTACGGCCACATACGCCCTCATTCCTTCCACAGAATGTTACTTTCCGGTGGTGGATGCTCTAACACGGCCCAGGTTGTTCATCACTGCAATGTCAACAGCACTTGCGTCTCCTCTCCTTCTCCTTGCCCACCTCTCGTCCGATATCTCAACCCCCCCCCCCCCCCCCCCCCCCCCCCCCCCCCCCCCCCCCCCCCCCCCCC